GCCGATGACGAGAGTACTATTGATGAGTTGGCAAAAACTGCTGAGCAGGAGGAGGGTCTTAATGTTTCTGTCGCTTACGATGATGACATTGAGTAGGAGCCTGAGTTATCCCAGCAAGTCAGTTATTGGAAGTATTAAGAGCAGCAGTGCACCTGTAGCGTATATCTTTAAAGTAGTGTTCAGTTATTCAATCGCATTACATTCCGTAGTCAATATATTTGAGTATGGATCGGGGATGAATATGTTCTGAGTGTAACACTTACTCACTCCGAGGTGCGCGGAGTGTCACTGAKAGGAACAGTATCCTTCATTTYTTGAGTAGCGCGCCTAAAATAATGATGGATTCATAAAGAAAAAATTAATGGTACGYACAAAATACGTAGGATTACTACGTACAAACTTYTTCCCTTTYGAATAAAATCTTGGCTATCGTTCTTTCACATCTTTTTCTAATGTGGGAGCACATGGCATGACCATAAAGATGCAATAATCCAACAAATAGAAGATTCCTGTCATGTTTCCAAGGACTATTGAGGTTTTGATGAAGATGTACCATAGAATACCTCTACATGATGAGGCACGATCACTTCTTTATTTTGGATGGCATCGTTTGCAGATGCGGATGGCGTCGTYGTTGCGGAAGGCGTCGTTTGCTGTTGCAAAAGCATCATTTCGTTGATTGTATCAGTCTATCCCTTGCTATGTTTTTGTCTCCATTCAAGAAGAAGAAGAAGAAGAAGAGGAATGTGTTCAACATCTCGCCCCCTCCAAACACGGAACTACGGAAAATGCTGTTGAGGACTTACTCTGCATCAAAAACAAGAACTCCATCAAAACTACCGATTAAATTCTGGATGAATAATTACAAGAATCTCGAGGATAATTGGATCCGTGAATTACTAGGCCAGAGGAAACAAGAAGATTCCACTCTGAATTCATTGTCATTGTGCTTGCTTTATTGCTTCTTCATCGGTGGGCCGGACAATGTATTTGAAAGCAGTGTGGGGAAGGCAGGACAAAAAAAGTATTGTAAGGCRAARTTCATTGAATTCCTACATGAAAAATTCMAAGAGCAATTGGCAAATTGCGTCCGACTGATAGATAGTGACCGAAGGGAAACATTTTCAATTACAAGTGAGATGGTTACAGAGTTCATCGGTTCGATTGAAGAATGTAGTAATTTTGTTTGGTCAAGGAAGAATAGGGTTTGCCCTCTCGAGTCCTTCCTTTTAGAACAGAACTCAAGTGCTGGCCCTGGGTGGTTACGAATCTTCTTATTTCAACATGAAGGAGATCATATGAAGCCCCATAAAGATCGAGGGAACCTAATTGTTTTGCTTCATACAATTATCCGGGGATTCTGTGGGAATAGTGCTGTGATATGCATTGCACTCGGAAAGAAAGGATCRAAGAATGATTTRCAGTGGCTCMGATTGCTTGCACATGATATGGTTTGGTCTATTCTTCCATCAATCCCAGGACAAGAAGKAGGAGGAGGAAGTAGAAAGTCATCCCCAGCATTAAAGAGTACTGCAACAGATCCTACAGCTTCAATTTCTGAAGAGTTATCACCTCCCTTGTTCGAAGAATCCAATAGTAGTAGTATCTCTCCCGGAATCGTGCCTGCATCGGTGTCATTTAAAGCACCAGAGGAAGACAAGAACAGGACCACTTCCCCGTTGACCATCAGCGATTCATCTCCGGATGTACTAGTACCAGATGCGGCGCCAAAGCCATTAGTACTAGTAGTACATTCAACAACACCATCCAATTCTGAACAACGCTTCCCTTCATTGCAGCAGACTCCTCCTCCTTCTTCACAGCAATCAACACCGGAAACTCCAAGAACGCAAATGAAAAAGAGAGTTTGTCTTGGTGCAACTCCAGTTTTATCTCCTGTTCTTAGAAGAGCTCTGTTTATACCTGTTAACAAACAAAACAAACAAAACAAACAAAACAAACAAAAGAAACAAACACCCAACAAACAAACCGATCATCTCTCGCCAGAGTGCAGACACTTCGTGCAAGCTATAAGCACTGCTAAAAATGACAAAGATCTTGAAAGAAGAGYCCTTGAGTTYGTTTCCCTCAGAGCTGCTGATAATGGCAACCTRTTAGATAAAAGGATCTATGCGCTCCCATCACGGTCGGTATGCACAACTACGAGTGGAAGGAGCCGGCAAAAGTTTGCAAACAAGGCAGCAGAGTCCGTGGTTGATTTTGTCCAAAGTACCGTAAGTGGAGCTGCAAGTGATACAGATTTGCAGAAGATGGTGCTTGTGAGTGCCATTGAGMACAACTTTGGTATGACTGCTTGCAGTGAACCAAAGGCACAAATTTCTTCAATKGAAGTACTTGAAATACGAAATCGATCTGGATGGAATGTAGCAACGTCAGTTGTAACTTCGGTAATGAGAGATGTATTGATTCTACTCAAGARRAAGAAGATGCTGATATCACCAGATAAGAAGCCAGTTGAAGGACAGCTTGCAAAGAAGATTGGTCTACTTGAACGCGTTAGTGCTGTTCCTTCAAAATTCAAATACATCGAATGTTCTGTGACGAAAGAGGATTTTGGAAGATGCGTGTACTATTACATTGAGAATGTTCCTTTACTCATGGAAAGACTTGTATCAGGTTGTACTTTAGAGGGAGAGATGGAAGATTCACTTGCATTCTCAAAATTTGAGAACAAAGTAATCTTCCGTTTTGGAGCTGATYGTGGGGGAGGAGACCTGATCATGATGATTGCTCTTGCAAACAGACWGAGAGGKAATCACRGACGCTTCTCAATTCCTATTGGTGTTGTGGAGGGAGCAACGGAAACATATTCAAACCTGGCCAAAACAGTGTATTCCCCTGAGCGGAAAGCTATCCTTGAGCAACTTGTCAACCAACAACTGGTTATGATTAGAATTCAATTCTTCTYGGKGGAAAATAACACTTCTGCGGCTCCACAAGATGTGAAGTGTTTGTTGCTACGATTGATTGGAAGGATGGTGAAGAGGGAGGACCTATYATCGACACAGATTGTGTGTACTATTGGSGGTATCRAGTATGTTGGTATACCACACTTACAAATGMCCCAATGGAARTCGAGAGCGCTAGGACGCGTTGTTGCTGAYGACGCTTCCATCAACMAGAACTTAGTACGTGTTCTAACATCCAATGGTGAACAATCACTACACCTAAAACTACACCTACTTCAATCGGAACAACATTTTATTGGTTGTAGAGTTCAAATTGCGACAACAATGGAAGAGATATTTTCTTTTGAATTCGATAAAGGCRTGAATATAGAAGGCATCGATCTAAATAATTCGATGGTGGATTGCTTGCAAGTAATAGGGGTACCATGTGAGGATGGCAAAATGTGCACMACACTCTATGGCCTTTCAACTTGCKGATCATCTTACCCCTGTCMSAAGTGTCTATGGCCACTGCGTGAAGGAGTTGTCCCAACTTGKGTAAGCGACCATATTACAGAAGAAAGCACCAATGCAACAGCAGTATTATCAACAAAAGACTACGTAGAAAGAACAGGCAAACACAGTCGAAATGAATCATATTATCATTTCACAGCACTCATTGGCARAACRACTTGTGATGTGCCACTCAAGTTGAAGAAGGATGTGTTTAGTGTTATCTACAAGCCGTTATTGCACATCGATGATGACCTCCTATATCTTCACACCGGTGATCCAATGCATGTGTCACAAGGATTGATGACTCATTTGACAGAAGAAACAGCTGTCCAGCTCCAGAAGGCAACAGAAGAATCAGCGACAGAATCTGAACCAGAATTCATCAWSGACCAAACAAAACAAGTGAAAGCTTTCATTGAGGTAATGGGATCACGGGCAAGCTCTTTGAATTACAAGTATGCGCAGAACCGATACAATGAAGAAGACAGTCTTGTGAAGGCTRCATTTAAGGAACTCCGAGCAGCTAACGACGACGATGTGGAAAGATGTTACGACGCTTACAMGAATGCAGTACTCAGAAGAGATGAGGTAGGTGAAGAACTTGGCTATCAGGAAACATTGCGCAAACTCAATGGAGCTGATGAGTTAAAGTCCCTTATGCGAAMTTTTGAGAGAAGTACTAGCAAGAAGAAGAATTTTACAAAGGCTGTGTATCTTTTTATGAAAGCAATTAAGACCTTTGCTGGCGATTTCAATAAGAGCCACGGTCTATACGAGTTAACAAATGCTCGAGGAATCACGGCACTTAAAAGTAATGAGGAAATATTTGAAATTGTAATCAATGGATGCAACGATCCAGTTGTGCACRAGATCATGACTTGGTGGCRRACTTCAGCTAARCTTCTCTTGCAGATTTCRAYCGCTTTGAAATCTCAGGACAAACAGTGCAACKTCAACATCRTCARACTGAAAGAAAATGTTGCTAAWTTTGTACAGCKATGGGTACAGCGACTARGAATTTATGAAAAGAAGAATCCAATCTACTGGAAGATGCACATGCTAYTRTGTGCCTTGATTCCCTTTATMGAGAAGACAGGYATGAGTGGACGTTGCTCAACRGAAGGCTTYGAAAACAAACATCASGTCATGWRTCAACTAAAAAGACTYCTGGCACCRATTGCRMGAGACAAACTTCGATGTGAAAAGCTATCGCAGCGCCAGCAATCTTGTCTTATCCCAGGTATTGAAGAAGTACATTTGCTTTTTGAAGAGGAAGACTAYAAAAGACGCAGAGGTCCTCGKGGCAGATACAATTCATTTGGAACAAGAACAAAACTGTCGGAGGATCTTCCCATTGACGAAACCGATGATCTTGAGGATGAAGCTGACGCAGCTGGTGTTGAGGGGTATTTTGTTTCAAGAAAGAAAAATTTGATTCCTAATGAATTACAAGATGTGTATAATTACATGCTCCTCGGCAAGGTCCCAGATAGTTGGTCACAAAGCTTTATTGATAGTGAATTCCTTGGATCRAAGGCATCCAACTCTGCTCGGTACATCCCGCCGTAGCAATCCGGTGCATTTGACAGCAATAGCACGAAGGAGAATACTAACACCAGCAACCACGGCAGCGACCGCAACAACAACAAGCAAACTACTTTATTTCCGTAGTGCCCCTTATGCGAGGATGGCGATTAGCAACACTGTGGATGGAGCATAGTTCAATCACAGGTGTCGGAAGACGAAACAGAGAAGGAAACATGAAGAAGTATGGTAACTCGTGTAATTTTGAACAGCAAAAATCAAGCAAATATTGATTCCTAGTACAAATTTGATGTAGGATTCTACGGGAAAATTGGATATCAGGGGAGTATACTGTACAGTTTTTCGATATTTTCGATATTTTGATCTGTCTAATTAGCCAATCAGATCGCTTGATTCTTAYKGRWTTTAGTATTATCCCTAACTCTAAATTAACGCCAAAATCGCTCTAAAATGACACGACGAAAAGCTGTGAGTGGGTAGCCCAATGGTGCGGTGCGTACCGGTACGCGAATTACGCATTTTTAGTGTACCGTACTGTACGGTAAGGTAAATAAAACTATGAAGATCATTGATTTTGCATACATACATACATACATACATACATACATACATACATACATACATACATACATACATACATACATTCACGGTTGATCGTTTTCAGTTTTCAGTCGTGATGCTCAACTACAGACTGCTGTACAGCAGAGTGTAGTACAAGTACTGTACGTACGGTACAAAACAGTATTGAACCTGTTGTGTCGCACTGTATGGTTTTTCACCTACCGTACAGTACGGTACCGTACTTACTGTAATGCACGAACGATTGTAATGTAGTAAAAGTACGTACGGTAGGCACTGTAGCCAGCGCGGAAAACGTAAAATCCAAAATCCAATTCCACTTTTTGAATCGATTTGGAATTCAAATTATTGCCAGATGTAATTTTTCATTTTTCAACCTTCTTCTACATCGCTCGGGATTGACGTTCACATATTCTAAATACCACGACGAAGAACTGCGGTCTCCCGTCTCTATCGTTGGCGCTACAATAAGTCATCTTCTCCCAACACGAACTCTTTGTCAAGATCCAACGGAGCCATCAACGATATTATATATTCACCAAACCTTGTTTGGTTAGTTTCGGATTATTTCGTCGCACGTAACACGCGTACCGGTGCCGTGATCAAGCTCAACCCATGCGACGAGCATACATCCATGAGGGTCGCGTCCTTCGCAACCAAAAGCAATGGGGAAGGGCTGCCCTCTGGACCTTTGTAGAATGGAAACGGGTGGCCTGCCTCATGCTGCCAGCCATCCTGCTGTGGGTGACCAACCCTGCCAACCGGGTTCCGTGGTTCGGCGGAAAAAGCCTTTCCGATGTCTTTCCGAGGTCGGCTAAGCCATCTTGGCTAGTCGGACGCCCCCGAACTACCAACTATGGGTTGTTTTCCCTGGATGAATCCATCGAGGGCGTTACGCTCTCGGCATGCCTGAGCCGGTGGGAGATTTGCGCATTTGGGGATGCCTCGGTGGGTGGATTGTGCGGAAACCTTGCGGACGCGATGTGTCACCGCAAGCCTCTGCTTCCCTGGGAATATCACACTCGAGCCGGCAATGGCCTTCACAGCAGCAACAACAACATCGTCCATGGCAGCGGTGGCGACGGAATCACAAGCTACTATGCCACTGCCGTTCGCAATTTCGGTGCCGCATTGGCCGAGGACCGCGTCTTTGTTGCACACCGGATCCTCTGTTCCGTGCTGCTGCTCTCAGCGGCCTTCCAATTTTGTTGCCCTCGGTTTCCAGCATCGGGGCAGATCCTCGGGGTTTCGATCCCCGTGCCGTTTGCCTGGATCCAGGAAGCGGTCGCCTCGGTGCTATGGAACTCAACGGGGGGTACACTTCTGCGGGACCTGGTCTTCCAAACCACAGCGGTATATCCAGCATTGCAGGAACTCGACCGAATGCTTCCACGGCTTAGATTCTCCTCGTGGCTTGTACGTCCGACGGGCCAAGAATCCTTGGATTATGCACTGGCCGTCGCAGCTCTGGTGATCGGCATCGGAGGGGGATCCAACGCACTGGCGGGCCTCATGGTCGGAAGCAACAGCCAGTACCGTCGCTATGGATCGCTCGTTGGCTTCTCGGCTGCTGCGGCGGCAGCAATGGGTTACGCAATCCGCGCTACCACGGCGCAGGGCCGGTTATACATTCACGCGTACTATTTCCCGCTCGCAAGTGGCGACCGCGAGGTAGGATTGGTCCAAATCTATTGGACTTACGCGGCCTGGATTTTTATCGGTGGTACCCCACGAGGCTGGTATTCGAGGCTGGTCGTGTGGTTGTTGGCTGGATTGGGAGGGTCGCTATACGCCGAGTTCCATCTCTCTCACGTCGAACTCAGCGTGGTACGGGACCTCCTCGGTTTTTTTGGCCTAGCGTGAACGATKGATATGAAACCTCTTGCAACACGATACATCGCATTCMATTCATACAATCATACATACCATGATGTTGTTGCAACGACAATGATGGGAAATTGGAAAGGAGGGAAATGCTGATAGGATTTCAAAGGATGCATTCATAAAACGAATGGGTGACGGGAAAATCGGATCGACTCGAATCGATTCAAAAGTGATTCATTGATTCACATCGAATCGGATCTAACGAGAGGATCAATGAGTTATCAATTCGTGTCAAACACCTTCACACAAATAAATTTTTGATTGGAATGGCTTTCGGTAAACGGAAGCTCGAATGCGTCTTCGTTTTGCATGGGCAACATACTTCTGTTGCTTTACTTCGAACCACAAAAAGTTCTGCTCTAGATGGCTAGATGCAAACTTAGTATTCTGTTCCTGGTTCTATAAAGAAATCGCAGATCTTTTGGCTGCGTCTTTTTTGATCAGCTGGCTGACTGGGCGACCGACCAGTCTTGAATTCCAGCTCGACTTAGGACCGATCGACTGGCGGAGAACTGTCTTCGTTGCTCCGCTCTTTAAATTCGAGAGAAGGCACCCCATATGATGTGGATGGTATCTGTATGGCCGGATCTATAGCTCGTACGATGAACGCGGAAACTAATAGGATCTTATAGCAGTCATTGCTACTAATTTTAGACACTGCTTGGTTAGTACTTCTATTTGTTTTTGGTACGATCAAACATGACTTTACAGAGTGTCTTTCTCATCCGATAATAACTACCAACCCACGATTATTTTCAAAATTTGAAGTTATAGCCAAGTCAAAGCGTGCATCTGGTCGAGAAAAGAATCTTGCAATCAACAGCAACAACAGAAATGTCATGAAAATATGGGAAATTTGGGCTCCCCATCCTTGCGTTAGGGTAATCCAAACGTGCACGACTCAAATGGTCAGCCATGGACTGTCTGTGTTGCGTTTATGCTTTTTTGAAGTGCAGCGACGGGTCAAAAAGATACGGTATGCTAGTACTCCTACCTACGTCGTCCCTTCTCGAATCGTACGTACGGTATGGTACAGTACATCATTGCTGGCTTTCGCGCTGCGGGGTTCTCCTTGGAACAGAATTTTTGTTCCATCGACATCTTGACTAAGCGTCAACGATGGAGTTGTCTTCCATCTAAAACCAGATGTCTCACAACATTACCAATAGGACGGCTGGGTTACGACTACGCTACGGAAACAATCCCAACTAGATAGTAGCAATACCGTAGGGTGCGGACACTAGAATTCAAAACTGGTTTACAAGACCAAGAACTGAACAACTCAAGTCAATCGTCAGGACCAATAAAATCCGACAACCGACGAATGCCCTGAAGCAGTACTCAATACTGAACCGAATGCAACATTTTAAAGCATCGATACTCTCCAAAGTAAAATCCACACTGCGCGCACTATTCACAAACATACCCCGCTGCACCGCATAACATTTGGCCGGGGAATACGCAAATCAAAGATGGGCAACAACTACAGCAGTGCCACCGAGGACTGCAAAGGAGATCGGAACTCTATTTTGCAATCGGCAACAGCGGTGTCGGAAGCTATGAATGGATGCTCCGAAGAATACAGAGGTAGGTAGATAGACTCCGATGCCGCTATCGTTGGCACGATGCCCGAAGAGACCTCGTCGTTTGTTGTTATATTGCTTGTGTCAATTTATTTCCTCTGACCATTTCGTTGTCGTCGCCGCAAACTAAACACATCCATTAAAAATATGTGTCGGGGGTTGCAGCTCCCGAGCAAGAGAAAGATGTTTCCACATCCGATGCAACATACGACAACCTCGATGCCTCATTAGAAATGCTGGATGAGCTAATCGAAAGCAGTGAGCAACAACGGGAGCCGATGCAAGAGCCAATGGAAAATCTAGGTGAAAGTCTCAGTTCCTTTTGCCCTCCGATGCATCATAGATTGTCTCTGGCGACGGACTACATTCAGATCACCGACGTCCTAGCCGACGTTCGCGTCAAGTACCATGTCAATGCGAAAGAACTCGGCCACGGCCACTACGGAATCGTGCGGAAGTGCATGAACCGAGCCACGAAACAGTGGTACGCCATTAAATCGATCCGAAAGAACAAAGTGAAAAAGATCGAGGTGTTGAAGCGCGAAATCGAGATACTGAAGGAGGTCAAACATCCGCACATCATCGAATTGGTCGACGTCTTTGAGGACCCTAAGTACTTGCACCTGGTGACGGAATTGTGCACCGGCGGAGAATTATTCGATCGGATAATTGCCAAATCGCAGAGCCCAGAGGGCCACTACAGCGAACACGACGCGGCGTCTATCATCCGAGCCATCCTCGATGCTATAGCATATTGTCATTCCAAAACAATTGTTCATCGAGACCTGAAACCAGAGGTATGTTTTTTGGGTCCTAAAGTTTGGACGAATTGTTCGGTTTCTGTGTTTGCCCGATTTCCCCGGGTCGTTGGCGCGATTGATGCACTTATTATACGTTATTTACTGCACCCTCAATCTTATTGAAAAATCCTACTTTTCACCACCTTCTGCGAAATGATGTTACAAAGAACTTTTTGTTTTTGACCGAAGCAGAAGGATCCCCAATAAAAATCATTGATTTCGGTTTGTCTCGTCACAAGGACGAGAACGAAGAAATGATGAAGACAAAGGTTGGTAAGTTCCGCAGCAATTGTGATCCTGGTTTTTGAAGCTTATGCTTGAAATGATTGTTCGCTTCTTCGACGTCCTATGCCAACCAATTTGTCACGACTTCTTTTCGATATCCCAGGGACGCCGTATTACGTGGCACCGGAGGTACTGAGACGAGAATACACGGAAGCATGCGATGTCTGGTCGATTGGGGTGATAACGTATATCTTGCTTTGTGGCTACCCGCCTTTTTACGGTGACAACGATGCAGAAATTTTCATGTCGGTCCGAGCGGGGGACTTTGACTTTCCATCGCCCGAATGGGACGATGTTAGCAGCGACGCCAAAAACTTTGTAACCTACCTGCTGCAGCAATCGCCCGAGTTGCGTCCAACGGCCCTCAAGGCCATGGAGCATCCGTGGATTTTCACCCACGTTCCTACGGCAGCGACCGAGGACCGCGTGAAGATCCTGTCGAACCAGAGCATCCGGGGAACAAACTTTCAGAAATTTCTGGGGATGCAAAAACTCAAAAAGGCCGCTCTCGTTACGATTGCACGGAATCTGACCCACGAGGAAGTAGGATCGCTCGAAGACGTTTTCCGAAAAGTGGATCGAACGGGGGATGGCAGGGTGTCACTGACCGACATTCACTCTTCTGTGCTGAAAGGTAAGGCGGTTCGCATGCGATGCGAAAAGGTTCGTCCCGCATCGGCAAATGGTGTGGAGTGCTGTTCTAGTGTCGCGAGAATGGACTATGCTTTTTTTTGACTAACGAACGATACAAACATTGTATTTTCTAAGAAAAATTGTCACCCCAGATTCAGGCCGAGCTGATTGCCATGAAAGAAGAATTGTCGCTGTCAGACGACGACACCCTGAACTGGAAGTCGTTTTTGGATGCCACCGTCGATAAGAACCTCGTGATGAGGGAAGATAAAATTCGCTATGCATTTGATCATTTCGTCCACGGGGAGAACAAAGATTACTTGACGCTAAACGACTTTGAGAGTATATTCCATGGAGACACACAAGGAAGAGAGGTCTTTCAATCTCTGGATAAGAATGGAGACGGAAGAGTTTCGTTTGATGCTTTTCGTGCCGCGATGGAAGAAAGCATTGATTTCGACGGCGGAGACAAGTGACTATTTCGATTGGGACATTATGTTAGTTGAATGCTTTTACAAAATTTGTGAAACCGAAGGACATTCTTGGCAAGACCTTTCCGCTGCTGAGTTGAAGAGGAAGCACGATCGACAAATCTATCGAAACGATGGAAACCAACTGGTGTATACTATATGATTGCCCTCGTATGACACACCAACAGCGAGATCTGTGACCGTGTTCATGGTCATTCTAAATTTGTCCAAAGGACCTGAGATCCACTGTGGCGAGGGGTTGGTACGGTGTGGTTGCGCCTTCTTATGTATCCCTTTACGCCATAAACTTGGATGAATTTTCAATGCGTTTCATGCTGTCTCCAAATTCGAGATGCAGATATTGTTGACTGAATAAACCAATGACGAAGTAGTCTCATACATTCGCCATGGCTACTAGTAGTAGCGGTAGTACTTATAATACGGTAATATTCTTGCTTCATTGTTATTTGATCTTCTTTGCCTCTCGTCAACACAGCAGAAGATTGAGGTGAATCGTCCTCATGCTACTACTACTACTACTACTTGTTTTTGTTCTTGTGATTGTGTTACTACTAGTACTATGAGCTCTCACAAATCCTTGTATAGTAGTACTAGTAGTAGTAGTTGTAATGCAAGAATAAGAATGTCCTCGTGCTATTCAATCAAGAAGAATATTTCCTAGTATTACTACCACCAGCACGTACCTTACCTAGTACAAGTCACAGGTTGTCCGTACTATCTATCCCTTCAATAAAACCGATAACCTGGTTGCAAAATGTACGTGTGCTCTTTAGTGTCGCATAACTACTCGTACTACCGTACGTGTTTACAATATTACAATAAAGAGTGAGTTTATTCACTATCTATTCGGGATTGAGCCTCACACTCCAAACACCAAAATCCCGATACAGTTTCTCGTAGATATGACCAACACGACTAAAACCAACCATCATATTGAATAGTACTCATACCTTCCTGTAAACGGTACGTACCATACGTTGAGCATTCGATTCGAGAAACAAACATCGACGTCACCGTTCTTCTGTTCCGTGATTGATTCATTCGGCGAACAAGGAGGCGGTCCAATCAAATTCTGTTCTAGAATTCACTCTCGCTAACCGCGCAGGCAGATGATTGATGTCGAGCAGAGAAGCGTCGTGTCAACTCATCAAAACCCCAACCAATCACGACGCTTGCCTCCTTGCTGGGGTCATCTTGTACACCGCGATGCCAGCCAATGGTACATTTTTTCTGTTTTATTTTAGGACGTTTGAGACTTTTTTCATTGCAGTCCCATTCCCTCTCCTGTGCCAGAGAGAACTTGAACCCCACATCCAATCCGACATCCGTTCCGGCACCAAACCCGAAACAGAAACCTCCTCCTCCTTTCTCGCCAACAACCGAGAATTGCAAAGCCGTCCCATCTGTCATTCACAAGTTGTTCATCATCATAATTCGACCAAAACTCACAGCGAACACAGAAATCAACTTTGAAGACGAAGAGCAACATCGACATCATCTCTGCAAGGAATCGAACATCCATCCATCCTTTAATACCACAATTCAATATCAATAAGCCGCCACGATGAAAACCCTAACCCCCCTCCTCCTGTTGTCGATCGCGCTGCTCGCCCTCTCGGCGTCGGCGTTTCAGCAGGGCCCCTTGCCACGACCATCTTCTCGGCTTGCTCCCCGCTCGGTGGTTCCCACCGCGCAATCTCCCCTCTTTGGGAGCGAGCTGTCGGCCCAGTTCGCCAGCAACTCGGACGAATCGACGACGACGTCTAGCACCTCGGCAACAGCCACGGCCTCGTTCCTCCGCACGGTCCGCAACCGCCTCCGCACCGCCACTGGATTCTCCTTCACGGTCTTCCGGGCCACCCTGCGGGGGATCACGGGGATCAGCCTAACGACCCTCTACGCAGGGACCCTTGCCGCCACGGGCCTCTGGATCCGCAAGGCCATGTCGACCGTCCTGGGCCTATTTCCCTCGGGCTTTCGCTACTTTTTGCAGCCCTTTCTCGTGCTTTACTACACACCCCTCATTTTGCTGCGCAGCGCGGCGAGCCCCACCACCCGCAAGCGGGCCGTCAAGAAGCACGAAACGGTTGTAGAAGCCTACAAGGAGGCCGTAACCCTGGCCGAGGAGACGGAAAAGTCGGGCTATTGGCCCGTTGTCGTCAGCGACGACGGGTACTTTGAGCTTGCCAAGCCCCCCAGTGTTGGCGAGAGCGGCGGGGCGGCCAAGATGGCCGAGGCCGTGGCGGAGGCCGTCCAGCACGCGATGGAGATCAACAGCGACGAGGACAAGAAGTAATGCGCAGGGTGCAATATTGCAATGCGATGCCGTGCCGCAGGCCGGGAGGTCTGCCGTCGAAATTTGTACAAAGACCAGCAAGAAGAAGTGATATTATGTAATATTAGTATGAAGAGAAGGAACGCCGGAACGACTTGAAGAATATACATTGGCATTCGTATCATTATTTTATCGGGGATAGAGAATGCAACGCGGACGGGTACAATACCGTACCTTACGCACTCTACTAGACAAGGATTGCACAAACTATGTTACAATATACATTTATTTATTCATGTAAGAACAAGTATTATTTCATCATGTACTGCACTAGGGATTGTATAAGTTTATGTCTCGTTCATGGCAACATCAATTCCCATGAGAACAACCACATTGAACGTTTAGTCTCCTCGAATTTTGTCGCACCGTGCCGGGGCACAACCGATGGTCGACCGCCTCTGACATACCATTGTACTTTGGGGGTGCACTACAACCTAAAACACAAAAGAATCGACGCGGCAACCAAAATGATCTGCGGCTGTAGTTGTTGGTACTCGTACAAGCCAAACACCGAGACGAAAAACAGATACCAATCGGATTCCATCCACATCTGTGAGCGCAGCATGGCGCAAAGCCGAGAGATAGAGAATCGATAGCCACCAGAGGAGACAGACACAATCCTATACAAGCGACGGCTAGTACCGATCGTTAGATATTCCTCTCCAAAACGATTTTGAGACTCGTATGAATCGTAGTAACTCGTACAGGTACTGGTACATGCCGGTATGAACTTTCCATCGTTTTTTTTGACATGGTGGGATCGAATTCCAAGGTTTTTCCACCATTACTGTAAATCGCGCCAAATTTAACGTGTACCCTAAATTCGTACTGTATGTTTTTGTACGAAGATTACGATTATCGTACGAACAGTACAAAGCTTCGTCGAACAACCACTTTAGCAGGAAACAACAGACGACGCCAACAACATCTCTAAAGGGAGGCTTGGTTGGTGTGTGTGTGCGTGTCCGGCAAGATCGTTTCGCATCCTTTATTCCTTTGTGTATAACGAACTGTAGCAAAAACCAAAGACTGAAACGTAGCGTTGCCTGTCCGACACGGCACGATAGCATATTACACGACACGACACGACACGACACGACACGACACGACACCACACGACACCACACGGCGTGAACGACAAGCACAACATGTGCATTGCCTTTTTCGTATGGACGGAACATCGATTCTTGGTGTGCCACAACCGCGACGAGTATTTTTCCAGACCGACCACCGGCACGGAGTGGTGGCCGAACGAATCGACCTCCGGCAACGACCGCCAGAGCTTTCGGATCCTCGCTCCCCGCGACGGGGTGTCCGGTGGGACGTGGTTCGGATACGAACAAACCACGGGGCGGTGTGCCTTTCTCACAAACATCGACGGCGCTACCGACAGCGGTAGCACAAAACGCACGCACGCGTCCTCGCGGGGGGAGATCGTGGTGAACTACCTGAGGAGCGATCCCTCGTGCTCCGCCCTGGACTACCTCCGGCGCGAATTCGGTTGCGGCGATGGCGCCGACGTTGCTGTCACCGGCAACACCGGCTGTGGGTACTACGCGGGATTCAACCTTGTCGTCTTTTCCGGCCGCGACCTCGCATACGTTTCGAACAGGGGTGGAGGCATCGGCATAAGCATCGGCAACACCAACCACCGCACCGGTCCCGTGGCTCTGGAGCAGGGAAGGCACTATGGGTTGTCGAACAGCCTCCTGCATCAACCCCTCCCCAAAGTTCGCGAGGGATTGGAACTCTTTCGAACCGCCGTTCATCGGTCCAACAGCGTCTACAGGGATAGCTATATCGGCATCAATACCGGTGAACAACCCCGCTGCCGGCACAAAATAGACGATCCAGACGACAACAAGGACGACGAAAACCGTTTGTTCCAAGAACTGAAAGAACTGATGCGGCACGCGGGGCCCTCGCATCGACCAGAGGGGGTTGCGCACAACTCGTCGCTGCTGTTATCCGACGCTTCCTCCGAGGGGGAAAGGACCCCGGGGGAAAAAAGGCTGGAGCGCCGCCGGAGCAGCATCTGCGTCCCAATCGACGACACCGAGTACGGGACGCGAACCACCATCCGGTTCCTGCTCCAGACCAACCAGCAAGAGCCACGGCTCCTGCGATGGACCGAGCAACACCGGAACCCGGACACACTCGATTGGGAGGGCTGCCTCGAATTCGGCTGCGAGAGCTCTTTGTAAAGGGTAGTGATGTGCCTGCGGGGAGGCGTTGCCCTTTCCCTCTCTTTCTCCCGCTGTGCTCCTCTACCCCATAGCTTCGTGCTTTTGTGTGAAGAAAATGTCGACATCCAAACCATGATCGGATCTGCGTGTGCGAATGCATCGTGGATGCGAAATTCTCACTCCAGAAGACAAAATTCTGGCGAGCATCGAATAATAGGCATCCACTCTCCGCACAGAAAAGCACACGGCACCTGGTGTGAGCTAATAGATCAAATGGGCCTGAAATGGCAGGAATCATCTTCGTCATAGAATCAGAGATGACTTATTTGATACGGCAACACTTTACTCAAAAATGTGCAGGATACCAATTACGAAGGACTTTGTAGAGTTTCTCCGTCTCCACATGTTACCCATTGGGGATTGAGATAGGATGCTAATGGGGGTTATCAGTACTACTACTAGGAGTCCACAATGCTAAGGTCCATATCCAAAAAGATCTGGAACAGTGGGTCCGTGTGAGCTGCCACTAGTAGGTGATTGTATCCCATTCAAAAATCATGTACTCAATCAGGTATAGTAACAATTTCCAAAGAGCACCGTATTTGAGGCATTCTGTTACTGTTTTATATTTTGCATGAGTAGTTATTGTTTCGTGGAAGTGACATGGTTTTCTGCTTTTGCCTTTCAGTGGACTTGTTTCTTTTTTCAGTTTGTTTCCAACTGTGGCGGTACAACACCTATAACCTTAACCTTAATTCTGCATCAACAAGTTTCGACGAGATTGTATGCCCTGATTGTATGTACGTACGGTACGTACGGTATTATTTCGAAGTACCTCGTGCTTGCTCTACAAAGTAAAGTACACTGTTTGTATTACTGTAATTGGTTCTATTCTGAAATTCTAAACAAAATCCGAAAAAATGATACTACGTCACCGGTTCGGTGTCATCTGTAAGGCACTCACTAGACAACAGCTGCGAGATTCAAAAAGTGGATGAAGATCCTCGTGAAGTATCCAATTGCTTGTTGACGTTTTCCGTTTTCCTTCCCATTCTAGGAGTACTTGGAGTAGGCGCATTCAAAGATAGTTTTTCTACGCTTTTTTTCCGATAAACATTTGAAACGAAATAAAAAATGCTTAGTTATGATGCGAACAAACGTGAGAATTGAAAATTGAAATGAACTGATTACATGAAAAGCCTTTTGAAAATGACAATCTTCGAACATATGCTCGAGCAGACAACAGCGATTGTTGTCGCCGTGTTACTGCTTTGCGGGAATTCGGCCATTGTGGGAACGAAGGCGTTTCAGACAGCAGCAATCTTGCAGCCTCGCACCATGTCAACTGTGACAGATCCAATGGGTTTTTGGGGCTTCGACGACTTCAAGGGCTATKGAGTAGGAGGAGTCATTCTTCGTAATACTGCGAATGTGAATGGCGTGGAAGACATTTTCCCGGGCCCGGAAGTCTTCTATCCGTCTCCAGATATAGAACGGGGAGCAAAAAGGACGAATTATGAAACAGAAACTGAGAAAAATACAGCAAAAAGGAGAAAGAAGGGCAGGAAACGGAAAGCCATCAGGAGCAAGCTCCTGTATCCAGCGGTACGTTTGCAATGTTTTGTTTTCTCGTTATAGATGATTCATGGCTGGCATACTCGTGTGGAGTATGGAATTATGACTTATTCACACTATATTTCTACCTTTGTCTTCGTTTCGTTCAAACAGATTAGGCTTTTTAGGAAGCAAAGAAGAAAAGTGAAAGGAATATTCATAAGTTATCGTCGCAGCGATATCAAAGACGTTGAGAAATTCTCTGCAGTCTCCGAGGTATCCACCATAACACCCATATCTACGAAGTCGACACAGGCGACTTCTTCAATAGTACCCGAATCTATTAAGGTGAAACAAGAACCTTCTATGATCAAAGCGGAAATCAACGAGGCGAAGCAGGAGTCTTCTTCAATAACAACAGCATTCACTGAGATTAGGGAGGGGGTGTTGGACGATATTCCGAGGACAAACTCGAATATCGAAAATACAGAAGATTCGAAAGATCTCACATCACAACCGACAATTATCAAAGCCGCATCCGAAAGTGTTACCGCTGTTGTCACGCAACCGAAGGGAGATCGATGGGCAGTCGCTTCGCCCGACGTGGATCTGTCAGGAAAATGGGAGCTTATCGTTACCAACGAATTCAAAGAGCACTACGATAGATACCTCGAAAGGTTGGGACAACCCAAAATCGTACGGTCAGTCGCACTGAGTGGGCCGGTCATCGGGCAGACGATGGAAGAGCTCATCCAAATCGATTGCGGGCGCTCACTCTTGATTCGCGGCAAAAATATTCGTGGAACATGGGACCGAACGCTGGTTGCGTCGGGAACCACAAAGTACGAAGACGAGTACACGCCCCTCATAGAAACTATCCGAACGGTCGACGGGGAGCAAGTAAAATCTGAGGCCTGGTGGGAAAGCGAGGGGACCGTGCACATCTCGTGGATGCGGGGGGTCACCATGTACGGCGGTGGCTCGTTTTTCAGCAGGCGATACTTTGAGGAGATGGAAGGCGAAACCGTATACGTTTGTGACAGTTCTTTCGTATTTAATGATCCAGACAAGGAAGATAATTCATTGACATGGAGATTTCGGCGAATGACCAACTAATGATCCTTTTTCTAAACTCTATGAACTCACCATACACATTTCAATATCGTATAGTATTGCATTGAATGTTGATGAGATGACAACCAAAAAGCAGTTTTTGCGAGAGTCATTAGCAGAAACGCTAAGACGATGATTAAATGTGGTTCCATTCTATCATTATGTTTTAGAAGGAGTAGATGATAATGCGCGGAACGAGCAAGGGAAAATGCCACCATCATTCCTAAACAGGGCACGTTCTTGAATCGAATTAGGTGCATGAATATTGTACCAATTGTCGCTGCCTCTTAATCCATCCCATCCCACTCTCCTTGGCCCTGTTTCAGTCGTTGCTGTCGAAAAAGTTTTACGTTGACTACTTTGCCTCTTTTTCTGTAAGACGTTTACTCGTTCCAAATGCTCCAGCTCGCACCAACGCTGATGTTGCGATTCGTTTCCGATATCTCGATTTCTGCACATTCGTTCGTTCTTGGGCGGCCTCGTAGATCGAAACCACCATATCCCCGCGCACCAGCAGTTGTTTCATTTGTCGTCTTCGCACCTTCCAGTTCCCCGATTGGTGTTGATGTTGCTCCTGTATTGCAGAACATCCCTTTCCAACTCTATAATCAATCGAGGATCCCCCACTCTGGTTGCTCGTGGCAGTTGCTGCTGCAGCTTCGAGACTCGTGCCCAGATCCTCCGCATCAAGCGATAGCCTCCGCCTTCGCTCAAGTTCGAGTTCCAGGTTTGAAAGACGGCATTCTTTGTCGTTGATGCGGGGGGAATAAATTTCCTCAACGTCCCTCAGTATCAGATTCATGTGCTTGTCGAAGGCCACAAGGCTCCCCGTAATCGTTCCCCGGACCATGTTGACGTACCGGACGACGACCCTGGCGCGTTTTCGGTCCCTGCGCAACCGAAAAAGAAGAGAATGCGGCCCGGTGTCGAGGTGCGAGGCAATCGCCTCGAAAGGATGTAGATCGTGGTTGGTCTGCTTGCGCAAGGTGGTGGGCCGTATCTGTACGGATTCTGCTGCCGCCGCCGTGCCCAGGGCAAGCTGGTTCTGCTGCGAAGAACTATTCCGCGACGCAGCAGATTTCCGAAGCTGCAGCTGGAGATGATTTTCCTTTCGCAACGGATCATCGGTGGGCAGCAGAGCAGCGCACTTTCCGATGTTGTCTAGAATGGTCTTCGGCAAGAGCTCTTCCATCCACGGATTGGCTCTGGCAACACTGCCCCTTCCAGAAGCACCCGTAAGTGCCTCGACCGGGTCGAACCTTGAGGACAAAAAGTCGACAATTCCACTTCCAGCTTCCTCCTTCCGTAGCTGGTACCACGATTCGTCTCGTGGAAGATTGCTCTTCCTCGTGTTAGCGAGATCATTGCTGCGGTTGCTATCCGTAGGAAACCTCGGAACGAGGGAGGACGAATCGGACACCAAGAGGAGCCGCACGGCCGTTCCATACTTTTTCGCCAGCTTGGTTGCTAGTTTTCGCTCTCCCGAATGGGTTCCTCCGTACTGATTCGGTTCGATTTGGTCGCATAGAGTGTGTCGTAAGAAACGATCCAAAAGAGCATTAAAAGCCAGTGGTGATTTTCCAGGTTGGTATGACAATAAACAACGGAATGAATGTGGTTCAGAACAGGACAGCGCGCTTGCTTTCCTGTTTTTGTGTGCCAGTGCTCACCTTTTCGTAGATTTGATCGTACTTGCGTAGCCACGCAGTCCGATCGGACAGTATTGCTGGAGATATCAAGCTGTAGTACGCCTCTAGCCGGATCCTCAGCGAGGCTTTTCCCAGGGACAAGGGGATCCGATCGTTCTTGCTTCTCCGCGTTAGCGACGCCTCCGTAGCATCATCGGTAGCCGCCGATGCGTCTGGAGGAGGATAGGTCGTCGGCCCACGCCGTTTGGAGGAGGAGGAAGAAGACTCTTCATTCATAGTAGGTAGGCATGCACACAACAACAGAAAACAACGCCTTTCCCTTCCGCTCCAGGCGCCATTTCTGCTTCTTCTCTAAGGCAATTGCTTGTGTCCGTATTATCTTATACACTTCGTATTGAATGACGGCAAGAGATAGCGTTGCAGCTTGCTTAGTTGCTTCGTTTGATCCGTCGGAGAAATGCCGTGACGAAACAGATTTCACAGAACAACTAGAAGTAATTACGTGAGGTACGGTACGTTGAGTGAGAGCCTGTCCGTTTTTACTCGGACTCATACGTACCGTACGGCGCGGACGTTGACATCGGTGTGTTTCTCCTACTAATTCCCCAGTAGTAATTTCTACTTAAAATCTAGCCATTATTCAACAGTGGTGGTGTAATTTCACAACAATCAATTTGATGCCCAACAAATTAGTATATTCAGAATCAGTGTTAAAAACTGGGCTAGACAGTATGTTCAAAAATTGAAATAGTGGCATTTTGATCAAGTTATAACCACTTGAAGGTCGGGTACCTCCTCATGGGAAAAGAATCAGGAGGAGCAGTTTCTTCGACTCCGTGGGAACGTGTGTAACCCCTACTATCAATGTATATATGGATCGAAAGCTTATAACAAGACGAATAGCCATGATGTTCATTAATGTATACAAGATAAAATTGGCTTTAATTCAACCTTTAAAGTTTCGGTTAAGGCATATATATTACTAGTATAACGGTACAAACAGAAAAAAGCGCATGTCATCCAAAAATTTCAAGCTAGTTTTTGTTAGTCACGCGCGCAAGTCGTCCTTCAGAGAGGGGAGTCGAAATAACGGCAGGCATATCTGTTGTCCGTAGGATATCAGACCGTGGGTATGATTYMTACATWYRACACGTACATACGATACGTATCTACGATTCATACACACCATACATATATGACTCACGCGATCCCCTAGGATTCATACGATCGACGCGACTCATCTCATTCAC